TGGGAAATTAAAATCAAATCCGAAATAGATAAGGACAACTAAAGGTAATTCTATACATTCACAGCCATTTGAGAATTGTTACTAGTCAGACCAATACAGGATTTTTGAATTATTAATTTGGTCAACATTATTTTAAATAGATAAATTTAAAAAAATTAAGTGCCAAGATTTGTCGAGGAAGTACTGCAATAAAAGTGTTAAGATGATTTTATTTATGGGTAGTTTTATATTTAAAACACAACAGGAATGCGTGAGTGATCGTGTTGAAATATCTGCATGTGTTGGTGTTTAATTATGTTGGGAAGTCTACAATTTAGGGTTAGTCGCTAACCAAGGAATTCCTTGTGCAATATCCTGCATAAGTGAGAAATGAGTAATTTAAAGCAGTCTGGGGGCAAATTTAAATTACACATTTTAAATATAACTTCAGGCTTTTAAATAGAAACATGTATGTCTAGTTTTCCTTTTCACAGCTGTGGTCTCAGTGGGTCTGCTGGTGCTTTTGCAGTAGCCCTTTCCAGTCCCATGGGACTTGCATTTCTTCATGATGTAGAAATTCACACCCAAAGGAATTCCATTAACATGTACAATTAACAGTCCGATTCTAATCTAAATTAATGCTACTTTTCTAAATATGATGAGCATGAGCCCTAATGATTTAGTTTGTTTGCCTTACCTAAAGGAAAAAACATGTAGGCTCATAATTGCATAAAGCAAGCTTGAAGTAATCGGCAGCTGGAGAAAACTTACTTTTCAGTGTCAAGTGTGAGTATAAACGCATAAAAATACCTACATGGATAACAAGTTCCAGGAAGCATACTGTCCAGCAGACAAATATGTAACAATGAATTAATGACAGAAAGCAGTACATATTCTATGAAGCTATAGATTAACCAAGGATTCTCTGTAAGATCACAGACAGGTTCTGCTAGATACCTGAATGCAGGACTGGAACCATGCATTTATTCCTTGCTAGAAAGAAACAGCTCCTCTACAACAGTAGTCAAATCCATGACTTCTTTCAAAAGTAATTTAAGGAACTGGTCCATTTTGTTGTTCTCAAAGTTGGCCAAACTTAGTCTGAATGTACCACACACAGACTTCACCTCTGAAGGACTTATGTTATTACAGAATCAAGCTAACATTTACCACACACACACGTCAAGTGCTTCAAGATCGTTTGGGAGGGACATCAACAAATAGCTGAATCCGCTTCACAGGAAGCTCAAACTAAAAAAATCACAGTAAGGTAAATACAGAATACCACAAACTGAACATGTCCTTAGCTTATGTTTTATTATCATTACTGCTTAGAAACCACTTACTTGGCAACAGTTCTCTGTCTGCTGTTTCTGTGCAACTCGGATAGGGATAGAAAAGATGACCTTTCTCTAACGGGTATGGGATCATCCTAAATGCTGAAAAAAGAGCGAGTGACATTAGATCTGTATCTAAACCAAGCACCCAGCTTCTCACAAAGAGAACCAATTGTGTTTGAGATGAATAAAGGCAAAGATTAGTCTACTGTACAGAAAGAAAAAAAAAAAAAACCAAAAACAAGGAAAGATACTTACTGCCTTCCCATGTACAGTGTAGCAGATTTAGAGCCCCTTCTATTCTCTTCCAGTGCTGGAGGTGAAAAAAAGCATATGCTACTGCCTCACTGTCTCCTCGTTTCAGAATATGCTCTGGAGGTAGCACTAAACTTTTCATTTCTAGTAAATACTGAAAGTAAAAATGGAAAGCACACTTGGTTACATGGAATATTCCAAAATCTTTAATTGTGAAACACAAATGATCATTTGAGGCATAACTGAGCATTATCACACACGGGCCAACTTCTACCTGTTGAAGAAACAGCCCAATCCTGACACAGTGCATACAGCCTGCACTCACATGGGAAATGAAAAGCAGCAAAACACACATCTGTGTATAAAACTCTTCAATTGGGGTTTTCACACACAAAATATCAGGAAAAAAAAAAAGCATCTTCAGTAAGGCAAAATAAAAATACATTCTTGTGGAATATACATAAAGTATAATGCCACAGGTACAACGCCAATGAGCTACACATTTAGACTAATAAAAAAAAAAACACAATGGTATTTTTGCTCATCATTTAATCACTGAGAGTTTCAATGTAGGAAACTTGTTAGCTCTCAAGTATGAGTAGCAAACCAGAAAGTGTCAGTATGCTAACCAAAGGCAGAATAATAAACCAAACACAGGAAAATCTTTTTTTAATGTGGTATTGCTGGACTACCACAAAGTATCTCCATTTTTCAAATTTTTTTCAATTTCAGCCTTCTCCCTATATCAGCAGAATATCTGATGCACAGAAGGGTCAAAGAACACAAGCATTAAACATTCTCCATTTCCCTTGTAACACAGGAAACATGCAATTTTGTTTTCTGATGGTACATTAAAAAAAGACAGGTATTCATTTGAATTTAGCTTTTAAAAACAGATGAGTAATTTTTACAAGAATGAAATGATAGTTTCAGCTCTAGTATTTACCTGTGAGTTGTTCTCTCCTAGCATATAGTGTCTCATTCAATAACAGCTAAAGTTAATCCACATCTTTGATCAACGTAGCTGGCAATTCCTTTGACTGTCTCCCTAAGTGTAAGAATGCAGCTGACTCGACGATTTATTTCAGCAGATGCCACAAACTATGAGATTATTTACTAATCCAGTTTGAGGACTTAACTTTTCCCATTCAGATTCTTGAAGGAATGTAGGAGGGGTTGTGCCCCGGCCAAATAAAGCACATTTACTGCCTGGCTAGGTTCTTCTCTTAGTGCCTTGGGCCTACACTCCAGAGGGTAATATTCTTGCTAATCCCCTCTAATCCTCTTCAATTTTTTTTTTTTTTAACACAGTAAAGGATCACTCATACAGGGCTGCTGTGGGAAAATGGTCTCAAATATCTGACCCTTGACCTGACTCCTCATGCTCTCCGCAGTGCCCACTTTTCCATTGTACTAACTGCACAGAGAGCAAGGGAATATCAACGCAGCAGTGATGATGAAGCCCCACTGCAAGTATTGCCACAACATGCCAATGTCGAACTCCACGCTTTGGCTGTCTCTGCGCCCATGTTACCACATAAACAGAAAAATTCCACAGTCTGGTAGGTTTTCTTGTCTGTGTTTAACCATAAGACAGACAAGGTATCAGTACTGAAAATATCTTGGCTTTTGCAGATTTAAGAAAGTCTTTCTACAAAACAAAAATTTCTAAGGTATTCAGAAGATGATTGGAAAAGATTGTTTCATGTATAACCAAAATGTAGTTACAGATCTCTAATCTGAAATGGCTTCAGAGTACCAGTTTTCTAGCACTGTAAAATGCCTTCCTAACTTTCCAAACAAAACCCATCCTTGTAACAGCATAACTCAGAACAAAGAGAAACAAACATTATTTTATTTTCCTTATGCAAAATGGTGTTATGTGCAAAAAGAACCACTTTCATCAGATGCGAGAACAAAGGGATTTCTACTTTACATACTCATTTATTTTTAGTCCCTGGGACAGAACAGACTGCAAAATCAAAACCCAGATTTTCTTCCCCACTAGTCTGCTGTAACCCATTGGGCAAGCTACTTCACTTGTTTATGCCCTTGTTCGCTTGTTTGCTTTGACTATGAGCATTTCAGAGCTCTAGATAGCCAGCACCAATAAAATTCTGCCCTGCCATGTAATAAATTGGTGTTTCAAGGCAATATTGTAATAAAAAAAATCATGAAGACAACTGGATATGTACACAATTAGAAGAGAAGATCAAATTACTGAAACCTGGAATCAGTTTCCCTGATTGTCTGTAGAACATATTTTGCAAACAGCGTGTTTGAAATTATATCTAACTTCTTTAAAAAGGTACATGAGGCTCCTGAAACAACTGAAGGATATACAAAATAAAAAAACTTTTAGATAACGATAATGCGTTATAATCTTCTTCCCCTAAAGGCAGAGGCTAAAGAAAAATCTGTCTGAGACTGTCTGAAATGAACTTGCTACGCTCTTGATCAGTCATGCAAACAAGCAGCAATTTCTCCCAGCAATTAGCTTTCTCAGTGCACATTCTATTAGATTGGACAGGCAGACAGAATAGAGCGGCTGGATAATTCGAGCCTTCACAGCAATAGTCATTCGGATTCCATGATCATTTGCAGAGGATTAGGTCCAGGACTAAGCCAACCTTCTGCATTCAAGGTTTCAAAATGAATGCATCACAATACTAGTACAGTAAAAAGCAACATAAGATTTTATTTTCACCCAATGCTCAGTGGAATCCGTATCTTGGCCACTTCAAGTAATGCCAGACATTAAATTACACCCTGTCGCAATACTGACTCTTAGTCTTGTTTACACGTGGATGAAGAAAATAAGTGATTGTAGATCTTTCAATAACCCGAGTTCTGGAGCCATGCTTGGAAGCACAGCAGAAAAAAGTATTTTGAAATACTATGAGTGGTTATTGTTTGGAGAACTTCATTCGGCTTCAGGGATTTTAAATATCTAAATTTATATTTATTAATGCTTAATCTTACCCAACAAAGGGCCTTCATTAAGACATTACTGGATTTTGCAATGAGTTAGAAAATTCCGAGTTTAAATTTTTTGTAAAAAAGCCAGTTTAAACATCACCTATTGCAAACAACTAATTCTGGCCACCAAACATTTATGATACAAATTAGTGTGTTGAACAACTCAATGGCTGGAGTTACAACCACTTTCAAGAAAACATGGGGCTAGAAAGGCTCAAATAACAAGATGATAACATAATACGACTTCTTTCAGAAGACAATAAAAAGTGGTCCAATAGGAAATAAAATAATCATACCTTTGGAACATGAGGGTTAAATTCCACAGCTCTGTGAATTGCTTCCACAGCATTAATTTCTGCTGTACTGAGCCCTCTTTTGGAGGCAGTTTCTGGGGAGAACCTGAAGGGAAAAACCCATGCTGAGCAAAAGTAAACAATAAATGCTAACCAGGTGTTTATTTGCACTGTAAGGTTGGAGTTCATTAAAAATTGACTGATTTATCAAGAAAGATAAACAAACCCTTCTAGGAGACAAATATTCATGTTAATTTAGGTATCTTGACTGTCATCCATGTCCATATGACAAAGTTATGTTTAACTTTTTGAAACTTGATGTCAATCACGTAAGGTAATTGAGTGCCCAGTCTTTCACAAGATTGTTACAACATCACATACTCGGAGGTAAAGCTAGAATCAGCTGTGCAAATAGACCAGAACGAAAGTGAAATGCCAACATGAACTATCACAAATATCCTGCATCCAATCCACAAAACAAAGAACTGCTGAACAGCACAAGCACAACACTGAAAATAAAATTTATACAGAAGCACATGTGCGTACATGGGCTCTTGAAAAACATCTTCACCTGTATTAACTTTATGGATGCTTAAAAGAAACTTTCAATTACATTTAACCACACACACACACATATATGTATATACTTAACTTGCTCTTAGAAATGTAACTGCTACATATTGGATTTAGACCTTTTTAGCTCATATTTTACAGCATAACCCAAGATAAGCAACAAACCACTGTTTTCACAAATGTGCTTGCTTACCTTTCTGAAACGGCTCTGGCTTTTAACAGGGCTGCTGTGTAACATATTGCTGCCGATTTTGGAAGACTGATATCTATGATAAAATAATTAAGATGTAAAATTCTAAGGCAAGACAAACATTTTAAACCCACATCCTTTGAGCTTAAAGTTTTTTACGTGGGCAGACAATGAAATGTAACATCTGGAACATTTCAGCTATGATTAGAAACTTTGAATTTCTTTGCACAATCTTCTATCTGGTCACCAGTCAGTCTTAGATTAAAAACTCAGAGTTGTAGTTAGGTGGTAAAGAGTAATTTTTTCTTCTAAACATACCAAGACACTGAAATTGAATTCAAAAAGAAATGCATGTATAAATACACACTTAAGAACAGTGTACTTTTCCTGTATTAACCCATGAAGGTTTAAAATAAGCTTCTAATCTTTACCTAATTTTGCAACAGTACATTAACACAGAGTTTTACATAATACTTAAAGAGAGACTGACTAGAAGCTGACCAAAAAAATTACATTACAGACAGGTAGACAAATTTTAATGAAAATGCAATTTCCATTCTTTTCCAGTTCCACGGGGAAAAATTCTGTTAGTTGTAGGTTTTGTAGAATATCTGAGGCCAAGTTTGAGCTGACAATTACAGATTAGAAGGTTAGCACTCCACAGTACAAGTTTACTTTAAAAGCAGACAAAGTCTGGGGTCTAATTCCCAAGTACCATGTTGTGTATAGTCAGATGGCTCTTGCTTTTTTTGTAAATCCCATCCTGGGCTTGCCCATCACTTACTAGAAGTCTGGCTGTCGTGTCAAGCAAAACACAGGGGCGCTACAGAGAGTTTGAAGCTCATACTCATTTTTCCAGATGTTTAGAAAAAAATAAGCAATCCTTTCTTAAGAAAGTGTCGCAATTCCTGATGTTAACATAAAGAAGCACCAGGAAAAGAGTAAATGGTTTTCTTAAATTAGTAAGAATCCACACAGAAGAACATGGACAGTCAAGTAACAGGAGCAGGCTGCTAGGGCAGCCATGCACAAGGGGGACAAGGGGCAAGAATATCACACTTTCAATTCCCTGAAGAAATAAAAAACAGAGACACAAGAGAGAACATACCGACTTCTCAAGGGCAGGGAACGATTGCCACAAAATACTGCTTCTATGTCCCTCCACTCTGAAGATGATTTAAGGGACAGCTTTGACAGCAGCACTTTGTACACTAATGATGTGGGCATTATCTAGGTGGCAAAACTCTGAGGACAATAAGAAAGTAAGTATATATTTTATTAATTTATTTATCTAGACTTGCACAACACCTGAAACGTATTAGTTGAGATGGAAAGTGAAAGCAAACTGCTGCCATTTAATGGACCAAAGCTTGCATACCACTAATCCCTGGCAAGCAGTATGCTTGCACGTTGCTAATCTCTGGCGAGAATCACAAGGCCAAGCCTGGAAGATGACAGAAGGGAAAACTACCTTTTCCAGCTTATTTACATCAATTACTTAGGGGGCTATGTGCTGACTGAAAAAGGCTGATGAATTTAGGCATAACTAGGGATGTAGAAGAGATTAAAAAATTAAAATAATCCTTGAATTCAAGCAAAGTGAGCTCCAAGATTTCTTTACAGATTAGAAGTAACTTAAAAACATAAGAAGTAATTTGTATGCAATTTAGCTTGCCTAAATTTGACCTCACCATTCAAAAGAAAAAACTTGACTTTCACTCTGGAAGCGCCTATTTGTTGCCAATGAGGGTAATCTAGTCAACTAGCTGAGATCGTGGGTAGACATCTGCTTTTGGACAGGCACACCTATACTCTTATAAGAAAACACCAATATTTCCCAGTAGGCATAACTTACCATCATACTTCGCTAAAACTGCCTGGACATCTGCGTAAGCCTGTAACTCCAGTAGTGCCTCCAGGAGGTTTTCATGAATATTCAGCATGCTGAGAAGTGGAAACTCTTTCATCAACTGCAAATCAGTAAAGAGAAATAAATTAAGCACATATAGAACTGAATCCCTGAAATACTTAATAGAAATCAGTACAATAATTCAAGCTTTTTCAATGTTTTTTGCTTTCACAGTGTTAGAAACTGGCACGTAAGAAGCATGAAAAGAATCGCATCATTTCCACCTTACTTTTTTCCTATATTCACCTGCTGGAAAATAAGTATACTGAGGTTCCTACAACATGCTTTCAGCCCAAATTTGCACAACTTCCACAGTGAGTTGGTTTGGTCAGTAATATTTTCCTATGAAGAAAGAACTTATGATAAACCTTGGGCAGGTGAAAGAAAAATTATGTTGAAGTCTGAAGTTGGCTATTTTGACAAGTTAGTCGCTGAGTCAAGCATGAAGCAAACTGGACAACAGAACTGTGAACATATGACATTATAAAATGCAAAAATTTAAAACCTACATGTAGGAACCAAAAAAACCATTCTCAAAAAAAATCATGAATCATGATGTGCAAATCTCACTGGAAAATAATTCAATTAGATTCATTACGATGCCTAGAAAGGAACTTGAACCATCAATTTGGACAATATGACTGAAAACAACAGTTGCTTACTTTTTTTTATTTTTACTTACATCTCTCATCATTTTTACCGCTTCTCGTATTCTTCCAAGTTTTCTTGCACACATAGCTAATCTCCTTTTCACATACACCAATACATTGGTGTCTCTTCCTGATTACAAAGACAAAAAAAAAAATTATTAGTCTATCAGTTTCAATCCTTACCTCTTTTTCCCCTCTCTCTCTCAAAAAAAAAACAAAACACCAAAAACCCCACAACCTTTTTCCTAACCACATGTAAAAGCATGACATAATTACTACTGCTGTCCCAACCAAGGTCCATCTAGACGAACACCAGTAACTTTTAACTAGGTTAAATGACAAAAAAATTCCGGTTTTTTTCCCAAAATGTTGGGTGGACTAAAAGAAGGTGCTACTGACACACACTAATTGCTTCATTAGTCTGCTCTACCTTTCCAAAACAATAATGTACCGAGCCTTAGCGAGACAACCCATGATGAATACACAGCATAACTGCCACTTCCTAAGTTTCATTTGGGTACTACAAAAGATCACATAGCACACCCTGCATACGCATAGCTAAAATAGTAGGAACTGCCTCACTGAATTGGGAATCAAGCTAGAATCACTAATTATAACTTTAGTTTTACATTTCTGCTCACACAAAACCAAGAGTTTACGTGATTCAAAAGTGCTTACTCAGCTGTGCTTCGTGCTGGGGACTTTGGGAATGGCAGTTCTGAGACTTTCTGTAAATCATTTCTCCTGCTTTCAGAGCCTGCTTGAAATACTTCTCAGCATCTACAATAGTTGTTGCTTCTTCCTCAGCCAGGAGGACATATGCAGTGGCACAACTGTAATACGGAAGAAAACCACTAATTATTCTGAGGGACAAAGTTTAGTATTTTTTGAATAAGTGTTAGAAGCATTAGAAATGGTCAGTTTTCACTTATGTTTAATATCTAAGCATTGACAATATTAAAGTACCAAAATACTGACTTGAGTTCAAATGGTGAGTGTGAGGAAAACAGAAACCTTTCCATTTTACAGAAAAAAACACTCATTTGGAGAAAGAACAAAAGAAAGAATTGTAACAGCAAGTCAAATTATTGTCCTTGAAATATTAAAAATGCTCCGGTAATTGTCTGGAGAGGGTTTTTTGTGTTTGGTTTGCTTTGCTTTTTTAAAACCAGGAGGTTTTTCCAACTTACAGCCTCATGTGCAATTCTCATAGTCACAGAAGTCCCCCTTAAGCTATTCAAAACTTTGCTAAAAGTAAACTATTAGAACAAGAAACTGATAGTGTGCTCAATATCACTCCGCTTAATCTTTCACACTAGAAATACAGCAATTGAACTTATACGCTAAACTTACTCATTGTTCAATTCTAAAGCTTGATATGCTGCTTTAATCCGGGCTTGAGGGTTTCTCTCTCGCCATGCTTTCTGCATAACTGTTGCAAAAACATTGAAAGGCTGGTGAGGAACAGAGACACCGGTGAAACACCTCGGAGCAAGGAGGCAATGCTGGCTGCCTATGCCTCAGCTCTACATTAACATTCACTTCCATTTTACAAATTCCTGTTTGCTGTATAATTGTTAGAGGGACGAGTAAACAAGTGTTTTAATTCCAGCATGAGTTTCTACCACAAGCAGCAGAATCTTGCAACTTCTCATTACGCCCCAAATTTAATTTAAGAAAGCAACACCACCAGGAAGATTATTCACTGACCATTTAAGAAATCCTACACTGAGAAGCAAAGACAGCTTACATAACCAGGCAGATGTACAATTTCTAAATTGCTACAGATTTTTGGAAACATTTCCCAAGACCTGTTAAAAGCTTGGCAGGAGCAATTGTTAAACACAGGCTCTTGCACAGACCTGCACAGAATTTTAATTTAAGCTTTCAAACAGAACTTCAAAGAAAACAGTGATAGAGTAAGCTGCATCTTGCACAGGTATAGAGTCATACTTAAGTATTTAGACAACTACCAGATCATAAAGGGTTAAACAATTTCTTTTTAAATTTACAAAGCACATTTGAGTGGCATAACATGGCACAGACAATTCAAGATATACTATAATAATTTATCACCTTATTAGAAAGTGTTCTAGGAAACAATTAAAAAGGGTGAAATCTATCTATTCAAAAAGGTTGCTTACATTACAACTTGAATTCAAAATTACAGTCAGATAAGGAGCAAACAAAAGTTCCATGCAATGACTCTAAACCCCTCCCCACTATGCTTCCATTAGGGGAAAATGGAAATCCCAAACTGAAAACCAACTTCTAGCAAAAGAAAAACAATGCACTGGGAGCTACCATTTTCTATGCAGAACTAATAGCTTTCACACTAAGTAACAGTTCTTTCAGAACTCCAAAACCTTTCGTTTATGGAGTTACATATCTGGCCTATCTCAAGTACGATAAGAAAACTGAAGAATCTATACATATTTCTTTTGGAACAAAACCTTCTGCCGTCCAGCAAGAACAACGTGGAAAAATGTTTGAGTTTTCTTTTGGAAACAAAATATTAGTCTTGGCTTAGTAAGCGAGACAATACACTCCATTTGTGAAACAAAAACACATCGTTCATATCAAGCATGTCACAGCCAGCTGACAAGTAACACTTCCGGAACTTGACAAATTGACAATAGTTCGCACCCACTCTGACAATAACCAGGTAGAGAACATTTTCTGCACTAAACATGTGGAACACAATGAAAAAATTCTGGAGACTGCATTATTCATTACTAAGGTTTAAATGAGACCACATCTTTGGCTGTCGAGAATACAATCCAGGTTTTCAATACTGTGTTGTTAATTATTTGAAAAGTGTGAGATCTTAAAATATGTCAGGATCCTGACAGCATCAAAGTCAGTAGAGAAAGCACAAGGTAAAAAACCCATCTTTTCATTAAATACATCTATTAAACCTCCTTAGTAGTTGAGAAAGGCTATCATTTCACAAAATATTTGACACAATAGCTTGCGCTACCTTGAAATAGATCAAAAATACCCACTTTACACTCTCCAACAGTTATATACCTTATGCAGATGACATTGGTACCTGTATCTGAAGGCCGAAGGGCATCTGTATCACACGTGAAAAAGTTTTGATGATCTTGAGCAGACAAATTCATGTCATAGTATGTAAGAGGCTCCTTCCCAGTCACCCACATGTATCTTTAATGGGAGAAATTTCAGTAAGAGACACTCCTAGTGAATACTAATGCTGATACCAAGGGGGATACCTGATGTGCCTAACAACTGAAGCTAGTGCAGAACAATTTTATTAATAAAAGACTGGAGCTACTAACCAGAAGTTTTCAAGTACTACTGTTCTACAATCTGTACAGGTTGCCAGAAGGCTTCCTGCAGAGGGGAAAAAAAAAGTCTTTTTGATCCTAAAGTTCTAAACAACTTGGGAACTAGCTTCCTAGGAAACAGCTTTTCCTATGAAATAACACAAGGAGACTCACAATACAGCCATTACAGTTTAATAAAAGAGAATTCAGATTCAGAATCACTGTCTCAACATCTGAATAAAGTTTTTCTCCTACTTTACTCTCAAAAAAACTGATGATGTTACAATAGTATTTGCATTCTTAACATTGAAACTGCCAAAGCTTGGATAGGTGCCTTTTAAACACAGGATTGGCATCAATCACCCCTATAATCTTGCAGATCTCAGGTGTCTCCTGGTATTACTAGTGCAAGCTCTGTGAAGAAGTCACATGTATGCCCCCGATTAATTTTAAAAATATGCAATGGAAAGTAAGATAATTAATACCTGCTATACTCTGCCCCTCTGAAAAGATTGAGAGGATTTCGCCACACTTTGCACTCTGGGGGGAAAAAAAAGTACTTTTGGAATTAAGAGCACAGGAAATACTACCTTGACTTTAAAATGCAGTAATGCAAATGCAGTTTTACTTTCAAAAGCTGCTTTAATTTTATTGTTATACAACCTGAGCACGATCATACCATCTTCTCCTTCTCCCTAAACTTCTGCTATCTCATAAATATTTTTGCTCCCCACCATTACTGGGATACAAAAGCACATGGTGAAAAGATTAAACGCTGCCATTTACATTCATGCAATGTTTATCTTGCACATATTCAGAGTAGTAAATATCTAATGTTACTGAAACAGTTTTAGCTAAATGTGTAATGTATTTTCTAAATCATATTTTAATAATGAATGTTTTAGATCAAAGATGTATTATTATTTAGTTTATTTTTACCATTGTTAATAAAACGCATCATAAGATGTAGGCCTTTCTCCAGTTCTTACAAGCACTAATGCAGAGTCAAAGCCATTTAAAAACCAGTTCATGTGAACCTGCTGCCTTGAAGCTTAAGGGAAACTGCTGGGACACATTAACAATCACCTGGCATATTCTGCCTGCTTGTCTCATTCTCTCCAGCCGAGAACGCTGCTGGTGCTGGAGGGCTGTTTTCTATGCCACCGATGAGGGGCCTCAAATGACTCACAGAAACCTGCTCAATGAAAGACGTGCCGTATTTTCGGAAATGCCACCACTCAAACACCTGTCACAGGAGAAAAAAGCACCAGAAATTTCCTTAGGCAACACCTAACTTAAACATCAGAGATGAAGAGCCAATTGTTCACAGCTAGTACATCCCCTTGCGGATGACTATAGATGGTACTTATCTACACACAAATTAACACTAATTATCTGTTTTGGCCTGTCTTGTCATGCAGGATCACCCACATAACATGAAAGAGACTGAAAAAACCAGTAAAATTTAGGCAAACATATGATCCTCCCTCCCCAAGTCATTAGGATAACTTCTAAACCCTTTCAGAAAGTGCCTGTATAGGGAAACCACGCACAGAGGCAAGAACCTCAAGACAGGTGTAGTTTTTTCACTTCACAAAAATGATCTAAAAGAATAAAGCACAAAATGGATAGTTAAACTGACATGTTCTGCCATTCAGAAAAGTCCAAAGAGGAGAGGCTGAATTAACAGCAATCAAGTTCACTTACCAGAAATTTTGGGTCAAAAATATTACCATCTCTCTCTTTGAAGCTATTAAAAATACCTGTATATCACAGTCGTCAAGAACTATACCATACAGTCAGCCCTGGACCAACTTATCTGAGGATTTTCACTAGCACGCAGAAAGATGTGATGTTTAGACAAACTGTATTCTTTGTTAAGAAGCATTACTATAAATACTGGCTGAACAATAACCACTTTTTTCTCTTAAGAGCAAACCTATGTAAAAGGCCTAACACAAGCAGAATCCATCTCCTTATATGATTTTCCTCAAATCCTTCAATCAAAACCCAAGCAACATTACTTACAGCAAACAAGTTGTTTCTACCACATAAGACACTTTCTTTTTTTAATATTGGCTACAAAAAACCACTCATGAAATAGATTTCGCACATTCTGCTAAATAGGTTTAATTGATGAGAAGATATATTTTCTGTAGCTTTTAATACTGAAAGTAAAGATTAACCCAGAAGATTTGTATATAGTACCACAGTCTAAATCAGGGTCAGATGATCATCACTGCAGAAACTGCTGCGCTAGCAGAACTGACCACGCAAATGTGCCCCATTCATTTCGTGCAAAGTCAGCCACGTCTGTGCACACTGCCGTCTGAAGATGAGCTGAATTATTGGCTCATTTTCACACCAAATTCGTTAAGATAGTTACATGATGACAAATGCACAAAAGCCCCCCCAAAATTACTGTGGGAAGCTAAACTCTTAACTGCCTAGTTTAAAAGAGATTAAAATCTCAGTGTTTTCTTTACACAGAGAGGTCTGCAGAGTTTGCATGTATATTTTGCATTTTTTGTGTATCTATGGACATACACACATATATAAATACATACATACGGACACGTAGTACCTCCTTAAAACAAGCTTGAGTTTCTAAAACAGACACAAGTTATTTTCCTTAGACTCACCCCAACGTACAACGCACATAGCAAAAGCATATGTACAATACATCAGAAAAGCTACTAAATTAACAAGTTCCTTCCTAGTACAAAGGCACCCTCTAGAGTCTGATCAAAAAAAAACCGACTGCATTTACCCCTAATGAAAGCATCCTAGAGGTGTTAAAGTTGTTCAAAAAAATAAAAGTGGACTACTTACAAATATCAGTCCAGATATAAAAGACGAAGTCACTGTAAGGGCAAAGTAGAATTTTGGCGTCAAAGTGCTTAAGAACACAGTCACTGTTAAGAGAAACAAAAACAAAGACTTAACAAGCAGAACCAAAAAACACAAATAGCTTTTTAATAAACAATGCTGAATGAAATATTATGCAAATATATAATACAATATAGCCCCAGTAATTTTACAGATAACGTTACTTTGTTAGAGAATCCTTTCCTTATATTACTGTTTGTAACCATCTGTGACAGTGAATTAGGTTATATAACCAATCTAAAAAATTCAGTGTAAGTTCTTAGACAAAGCAGCCCACAATTTCAACCACCTCATGGCTGGTGAACACCAAGAAGGCAATTTAACTTTTTATGGCTGGCGGACCACAAGAAGCCAATTTAATGTATTATGTCATTTTAATCTGACACAGAAATGTACTGTTTTGATGCAAGTTTATATTCAGTGTTAAGAACACACATTTTCCACAGACCTCTCCTTCCTGGTATTTACAGCACA